TAGTGATTGGGGGTATAAACTGTTGAAGGGAAGGGGAGGAGAAGGTAATAAAACCATAAAGATTTTGAGGCAATTTCTCTCACTGGCCATCTATATGCTCCAGACACTTCAAAGCATGACCATAAGGTCATCATTCTATGATTTTCTTTCTTCATCTTCCATATAGCCTCATACATTCCAAGTTTTTTACAGACAACCTATTTTCACCATACCTCTGTGAGGTAGGTGGATAAATATCAGTGTCGCCTCTCCCATGCAGGATTTGCTCAAGGTCAGGTGTTGAGTCAGTGACATCCAGGTTTAGAACAGAATCTGTCTTGCCTTACAAACTTATGATCATTCCATGTTATGCTATCTTCTCAGCACCATTTCATTTCTTTCCTTAATGCAGTTACTTCCACCTAAAAATGCTGCTGGGTTTTTGGCTGTAGCTCTGTTGGTCTAAGGATATAGGCAGGCAAGGTTCTTTGGGTAGATGTGATATCTTTTATTAGACTAACTTAGTAGCTGGAAAAAAGCTCTTAGCAAGCTTTCAGGCGCAGTCACCCTTCGTCAGGCACAGGGAGTCTTCCTTGGAGTCTCAGACCAGCAGAGAGTCCCTATGCCTGACAAAGGGTGACTGCACCCAAAAGCTTGCTAAGACCTTTTTTCCAGCTTCTCAGTTGGTCTAATAAAAGCTATCACATCTACCCAAAGAACCTTGCCCACCTAAAGATGGTATCCTTACCTCCAAGTGCTTTAATGCTAAAGTCAGAGCTCTGTGCTCTGGATTCAACACTTTCTCAGGTTGTCTAAGTCCTGTTGGCAGTTAAGAAAACGAGAGGATGAAGAAGCATATCAAAGGGTTTTGGCAATACAATCTGAAGCAATTGAATGTGTTATAGCTAAGGTGGAGTCTGAATCTTTGGAAAATGTTTGGTGTGGTTTATACCGTGTAAAATGTTGTAGACATGAACTATCAGTTTGGGAAAACATTTTGTGAAATACTCAGCAGGCTCCTTAATTATTTCCTTCACCCTGCAACAAAAAACAATTGATTTTTAGTAAGGCATGCAAATCAGCCAAAACTTCTCAAGGGAAAAAACCAAGCACTCTAGTTTCCCAATTTCTTTTCTTACAGCATAAGACCCATTTCAATGACTTTCTAAAAACAAGGTAGAACTTCCTAGAAATGCATGATCAATCTGATGTGACCAGGCATCTACGGCATGCGCAGGGAGCTGAGCTGACCATGTGCCATACAGACACAGAGGATGTGACTGCACCCCTGCCTTGCCATGAACCTGGGTGCTCTCACGCAGATCTAGAGAGCTACTGCTCATTAGGGCTGTGCGAAGCTTCAGGTGGCGATTTGATTCGGAGGAGATTTGGCCCGATTTGGTGTCCATATCTCCAACTCTGAATCAAATCAGAGGACTAATAAAAAGGTCCAAATCGATTCAAAGCTCTCCGAATCTTCGGAAAAGATTTGGAGAACTTTGATGATTCAGGCAGTCCACGCTGGCTGCAGCAGGGAGCTGGAGCCGGACTCCATGATGGTAAGTAGGGGCGGGGGAGGGGGGCCTGGAGGAGGGAGAAGGGGACCATGGGGGGACCCCTGCCA